ATTGCTGGGAGTCTCCAACAAGAGGTGAGGAGGCAGCAATAGCTGGTAGGACCAAAGTCACACCTCTGGGCTGAGATGATATCCTTAGGACCTGACCAGGGCATATGTCCATGACACACCCATCCATGGCTTTTGGTAAAGGTGGAATTCATCTGCTGCAATTTGGAAAGATCTTGTGCACAAAGTCAAAGCACAGGAAGAGCATCAGCTCCAGGCATCCCAGCCTTCAAAACACCATTCAACACAACACAGAGCAATCAGAAACAAAAGGATGATGCAAACCTGAGTGATGTGTGTCAAGTGAAACAGAAATTTCAGGAGGTGCACACCATCCAGGGGAGGTTACTTGCCCTTTGGAAATTCATCATCTGGGAGGACTTTGAGGTGATTGGGATGCAGTAAGAAGAGCAGGGAAGCCCACAGGCACAGGCAGTATGACACACCTAATGTCAGCATCCACAAAGGGAAACCTCCAAGGACAAAGAGAAGTGAGGTGGACTTGGCAACCACAGGAGACTATGAGGCACTGGACTAAGGCAGCATGGGAAGGCTTTAGGAGTGTCCACAAAGGGATTTACAACAGAGGCAGGGATGGGAGACAATGTGATGTAATTCTCTGGGGCCTTCTAAGCAAGGTTTGGCAAAATACTTGAAAGATTGAAGTTGACTTAGATCAGGATGGGATTGAGCAACCCAGAACATCCCATACCATCCCATGTCTCAAACTTGGAGTTACACTCACCCAAGGTGAAGTTTTCTGGATCTGCAAGTAAATAACATTTTAAGAGAAACAGAGCCAGAAAATGCCAAACCAAGCCCAAGAGCCTCAGAAAGAAGAGTGAATGGAAGAGGTAGCATAGTAAGCGTCACTGTCTAAGACCACTACTTTTTTTGTTTTGGAGGGGATCTTTGGCTTTTAAGCAGGAACATGTGTATTTTTAAGGAAACACAGATGGATGCATCCCAGTCAAAATGTCTGAGGAACATGGCTGGACTGCAACCATCCCTACCCCCTCCCAAAAAAACCACACACCTTGCCCTTGACAATCCCTGAAGCTTTAGAGTAGCTTCTCTGTTCCCACACTCTGAGCAGGAAGACCCTTCTGCTTCTCCTAATGGAGACACCATGACCTCACTCTAACAAAACCCACTAAGCTCTGGGTAAATTGGGTCAACAAAACTGTTGGAGTTTGAATGTGTCTGGGCTGTACCTCTCAGCATCCGTGTGTTTTCTTGAAGCCCTAGCTCCACTCAAAACATAAGGAAGAGACTCCAGAATCACTTCTGGATCTGATCTGCCCTGAAGACTCAAATTCAGAACGAAGTGGTGTTGCAGAGGTGAAGGAGCACAGTTCATGCTCCCAATGCTTTATAGGGTATAAATCATCCCACCTGGGTATCAGCCTGTGTGTCCCAGAGCTGTTCCTGGACAGGGGAAGCTCATTCCTAGCTGCACAGAGCTTGGAGCAAACCTTTCAGCTGGAGACAAGCCCTCAGCACACCACCATCCTAAGTGCCCTTCTGGCTCCATTTCTGCAAACAACTCCTGCAGAGCACAGAATCATCAAATGGCTAAAGTTGAAAGGGACCTTAAAGCTCATCGAGTTCCAATCCCCTTCCATGGGCAGGGACACTTTCCATTAGGCCAGGTTGCCAGAGTCCCATCCAACATGATCTTGATTCTCCCTTTCCCCACTGAGTCTTCCTGAGGGTTGTCAAGCCTCCCATCACCCCAAAGAGAAATGCCCCAGGGGTTGCAGACACAACTTGGTCAAGCCCCCTGCCCAAGACACACCATTCAACCCAATGATGTGCAAACCAACAACACACCAAACGCCAGGCAATGGACAATTTGTTCTTTATTGATTAAAAATTAGAGACATGCAGTAAAATACAAAGTCCAAAAAAGGAAAAAAAGCCTGAATATTTTACATCTTTCATTATAATCTACAATACACCAAAGTTGTGAAGAGGATCCGTTTTCATTAACAGAGCATTGTCCTTAAAAGTAGGAACTAACTTAGAATTACCACCTGCTTCCAGGTTCAGATCAGAAATTTGCACAAAACCCAAATTTTAATGACACTGGAAAACAATTATGAACAGCATTGGCACTTACTGGAACAACATCAGAAAAGACAGTTGTCTAGCACTGTAATAGCCCAAGTAAATATTTTGGATCCCTACCCAAAAGATCTGGAGATCTATAGAGCAAAACCCACCAGTTTCTTTCTTATTTTCTCCATTAAGGAACTATAGAGCCTTGGGTTAGCATGAGCTTAAGCTCTCTAAATCCTGGCTTTGGGAAGATGGGGAATAACAATAAATAGATGCTGCATTGTTCCATTTGAGCAGTTTGAGTCCTACCTTCCTCAGCACCAGTACACAAATGAACAAGGAGGTCCCCATGGCATGCAGGCAGAGGAAAAATAATACTGTACCACGACTATCTTGTCTCTGTATCCTAAAGGTTTCCAGTATATCCATACTGAGCACAGGGTGACATGAAATCAAGGTGCCAGCCTGCTCTTCCCAAGCCAAGAAGCTTGATGGGGGATTCCACAGGAAGTGCTTTGTGTCAGACAACAGGGAACAGTGCCAGAGGTGCCACACCCACTTGGCCAACCCAACCACCACCACTCCCTGATATGGGGCACTTGCTTCCTGGGCTCTGGGGAGCATCTGCTCAGCACCCTGGGATGCTATCACTCCCAAATCCTCTCCCTCCTCTCCCTCTGCTTCACACTCACCAGCCATGGGGCTGCAAATAGCCCATAGAGACATACCCAATATCCACCCAGAGGCTAAAAGCAACAGGGGCAGTATAAAGAGGACATGCACAATTCAGGAAGCTTCCACAGCTGCTCACAGAGAACAAGATATAAATACAGATTGTTCATCTGAAGACTTGGAAATAATAATAATAAAAAAAGTCCTAATTGAACCCAGTCATTCTGCTCTGTTTCTGCATTGTTTGTGGCTGATGGAAACAAAACACATTTCCATCTGTGTTAAATTACAGGCTTGCAATTTCTGGGTAGAAAACACTCCAGAGCCAAGAGCAGTTACAAAGGCCAACTGTGAAACAGTAGGAAAAAAAAAGAGTCAACACCATTTATTATTCACATATTGCATTACAAGTGTCTCTTATCAAACTCAGAGCATAATTTATATTATTCATGTAGAAACTCAACTTCAACACCACATAGAAAGAAAAGCTAAATACGTGTGTGACAGGTTTCAGTGACATCCTGATCGAGACTTGGACTGACGAGGAGGCTGATGGCCCAAGCGGTTAGTGCAGGAGGGACACAGCCCAGTGCCCACTTGCCCAGTACAACCACTCTACTGGTGATTCTTTATTGCTGTAAAACAGGACAGGGATGGTTCCACGGGTACCAGTTTGCAAAGGACTGGGAAACACGTCGGGAGGACTTGCGCAACCAGGGATAACAAAACTGGGTTTCAGGAACAGTTTGAAGTGCATCTTTTCCAAACACAGAGTGACACAGATCTCCTCCTCCCTCTGACCACGGATGTTGTGTTGATCATCTGAAAGACCAGTTTCCAGACAGCAATGCCTCAGTGGTCTGCTTCAAGAACAGACTCCATCTAAGATGCAGAATGAAAGACGTTTTGAGGAAGGACTGCTTAACGTAAATGAAAAGGTTCAGCCCTCATGCCATGCCTGGCACTCATGTGGAGAGAACCAAAATGGTAAAAAATAAAATAAAATTAAGGCAGTTTACAAAGGGAAGCTGACTTCTAACACCTCAGAGTCAGGGAAATTCTCAAAAACACAAACACAAGGGAAGGCAGCTCTCCCTCCTGTGGGTTAAGACTCTGCTTGCTGTCTCAGGTGCAAGCATTCAAACCAGCAGTTTTAAAACACACAGCCAAAGAGAAGCAGATTTCTCAGCACTCCAGGTGACCCAAACAACACGTACATTGGTGTTTCAGATAGAAGGAGAAGCCGGTAAAGAGAAAAATAAATCCATTCAGTATTAAAACTTGTGCAAAAATAGCAAGTGAAAAAAAATGAAACCACATGTAAGCAAACATTTAGGCAAGATCATCAGAGCAGTGGAACCCCCTGCTTCGTACTCAGTAGTATTTCTCTTTAAAGTAAGGCAATAATAAAATGAACATGCAGGCAATGACGTGTTGGGTCTGCATGTTTGAGATGACAGATACAAAAACATGAGAGTTGTTTACAAAAGGTGTAAACGTCATCGGTAATTTCAGGAAGGTTTGTGATCCTATTAAGGAAAATGTTAAAGCTTCTAGGAAGGGGCTGTAGTTCAATTCTTTGGCAGTAGTGGTTTGTTTGTATTTTTAGGCTAACAGAAGCATTACGAATATGCACATGTGGGTTCTCAGTTGGGAAACATCTCCTGGGACCATTGTTTAGCTGATGCTGAGCTGTGCAAATCCTATAAGTTTGCCATCATCCGGAATATCCGAGCCTTCAACACCAGATGCCTGAAACACAAGGAACAGAGATCCAAATAGCAACATACATGCTCGACCCTCCAACAGAAACCACAACAAGGTGTATCAGACAGGGCCTGGGGAGGAAGCAGACACAGAACAGGTTTGCATTGAATTCAGCAGCTCACACTACCCAAAGTTAAAATCCAGTGCTTTGCCTTTTTGGGCTTTGTTTTGGAGCTACAAAGGGCTGAGACTGAAGTTTTGCCAATGTCTGCTCCAACCATGGCTACAGGCAACAACTGGGGCAAAATAAGTGAAAACTCCTTGCTGAAGGATCAAAAAATAATGGCACTTACTGCTTCACTCTGAATACCTCGGTTATGCCTTCACTTTACCACTAACTACCCCTGAATTTCACCACCTCTGAAAGATTCACCAGCTGTTCCTTCAGCTCTCCCAGCCTCTCTGCTCTCAGTTTGGCTCTCTTCTTTTGCCCACCGCTCCTATTTCCCTGTTTTCTTCTTCATTTCCTCCTCAGGGACAATGTATCTGGACCCTCCTCATTCTCCTCCTTCAAGAAAGGAGTCTGTGGCTATTCTCAGCCCATCTACCTGCCCTGAAATATTTCAGCACATGTATGTTCCAAGCCCCCAAAATACCCCTTTGTAATATTTTGCGAAGTTCATTGGCCAGAATAAGGCAATGCTTGTATCAGCAGATCATCTCATGCCTACTTAACCCAGGTGCTGCTCAGAGGATACAAAGAGGGAACCTGCACTGCCTACTGTCAGACAACCAGTAGGAACCTTTGGGAAAGAAGGGAGGATTTAGAGTGCATACATCAGATGCCTGCAGTAGACATCTATATGCAATGCCTTCTCCTTGCAAGGGACAACTTGGTCGATTAGGGAACAGGAATAAATACCAGTTTGAAAGTGACGGATCTGTTTGCTTGAGGCTCTTCCACAATTTTCTGCAAATTAGCTGCAACTGAAACCACACACACAAAGGAAATGGGCAAATATTAGGACAGGCTAGAGAAGAACATCCCAAAATCTTTAGCCCTCTTTCTATTACTTCAGCAACCTTTGAAGTTCTAAAATGATAAAAAAGGTGTAGGTCTCAATTATACTCAATCTACTAAAATCAAAAGCTTTACACTGTAAAGATACTGTCATTGTTACTACGCTACTTTGTCAGAAGTAGTTATTTCTTCCTGGATGTGGTGGGATTAGTAGTAATAAACTGCCCAAGTGCTCCCAGAAATCCAGTTAATTCTGCAGTAGCAACCTTTCCAGATCCTGCAGCCTGTGTGTAAGGAACAGTGTTGTTGGCTGTAGCTGAAATACACAGGCAGCGCTGACAGTTTAAAAGGTTCACCTGCTGCACAGGACACGTTTATTTAGCAAACTGTTGCTGCAGGTAGTGTTCACCCCCATACAACATGTGCTGCTGCCCTAGTGCATGTGCACCTCATAATTCTTTCCCCTGTCCTACTCAAAACCAAAAAGCCTGACTGATTCCTGTCCCAGACTTCTCTTGCCCAGGACCTGTAAGCAGGACAGGTTTGTGCAGCAACTTGGTAATGCATCTGTGCCAGATGATAATTGTTTGGCTAATGCATCAATTAGAGTTCATTTTGCATTACAAGGAACATTCGCTTCATAACGTGTTCAAATAAATCATATTCTTGTGAACTGGGGGTCGCCTGCATGTACTGGCACACAACTGTCACTGGGATTGACAGCAGTTATGTAGAGCCACTGGGGTAGAGAATCAAGGCCACAGCAAACTCTCCTAGTTCCCACTAATCAGGTCATTTTAAATATGCAAAAAATGACTTGAAATGGTTAGACCAGAAAAAAAAAAAATATAATTACCTATTACTAGATCTCTGCCATCAACAAGACCTGCTGAAATGAGCTCCTGAGACACACCATCAGCAGTATCTGTTGGGGAGAAAGCCAAAAGCCAGTCACCACAGAACAGAAATTGTCCAGCTGACGAAGGCATCACACACAAACCTAAAGGAGCTTGTACAAACCAAACAGCAAAAGTGCTCTTTACAAAAGACAGATATTAGGATGCACACCAGGTGCAGTCAAACAGCTCTGAGCTATGCTGTGAATTCACTGGAATTCATCAAAGAGCTGCACTTTGGCCATATCCATGAGTTTTATAGGAAAGGTCTTCTCCACAGCAGTGCTCCAGGCTCAACCGTAACAAGTCCTTTAGGAAGGCACCATGGATAGACACTCAAAGTGTGTCCACACACACAACTGCACAACACCAAACACAAAACTTCCCCTGCACCCACAGGAATTTCCCACCAGCTCACCTCTCCCTGGGGTGAATTCAAATCGAATATCATTGAGCTCTTTTTTTGAATTCCTGTGGAAAGAAAAGAATTTTATACAGAAGAGACCATTTCACAGCATTAATCAGAGTCCAAAAGAAAGTGCTGTCATTGAATAATCAGTCTGTGAAATGAATTCATTGCACCTTTCCCCCTCAAAGGGCAGAAACTAATCACATGGATGTGCATATGAAAGCAGAACAGTTTGCCTCCCAACCTGACAGAGCCCAAGTGGCTGAAGACCAGGATAAGTGAGTGTCACCTCTCTGGAATAAGGCCATGTTGTTCCACTGTCTCAGCAACTCCTATCCATCAGCAGATATAACCTTCGAGCACATGTTTCAGAGGAGGGAAGTGCTCACTGACTGCAGATGCACATACATTGTACAACTGCCCAGGAAGGACCAGGAGGTGATGCTCAGAATTCACAGTCCAATGCCTATCAACAGTCAGGATACCTCCAGAGATGAGAGGCAGGTTCCTTCACTGAGAAACATCAGTATGTGCAGTGACAGAATGTGCCTTGAATTGGGTAAAAGCTCTTCAGTCTCAGAACTGGCTCAAGTGTGAAGTTATGCCTGATGAGTAAGATGGTCCAGCACAAGGCCAGAACCCTTGGATCCCCAATCCCAATCAGGGAATCCAGGTAATACCTCCTTCTCACCCTATTACAGTTTAGCAATAGTTATACAAATATAAACACCTCTTTCAAACTACAGCTCTTGCCAAACCGGAGTGCATGAGAAACTGCTTTTCTGGGTCCCAGTTTCAGAAAAGCAGATGAGACAACATATATCCAGCACCCTATTAATTAGAAGTCAGATGGCAAGACACACTACAGAAGTCTGTCAGTGTCCCTCTCCACAAAGGTTCACTTTAACAGAACAGGTCAGTTCTGTGTCCTTACCTTAACCTTAGTACAAGGCTGATGGGGACTTTTGTATCTTCCTGTACCGGAGCTGCAGCGGGGGCAGGTGGGGCCTGCAACAGAATAACATCATTTTAAAGCAAATCAACAATTCCTTTCTCTGGTTTTAAGACTAGAGATAACCTTGATCAACTATAAATACAATAGAAGTTTAATTCATTGTTGGAATCGTGACACTACAGTGACAAAGAAAACACACTAATGAAATGTGAGATCTTCATGCTTAAATAGCAACCCAGGAGGTTCTCTCTGCCATTGTCTTAAAAAGAGTAAAAGTTGCATGACTTTGAGAAATGCCAGAGATGGCAGGAGACTTCAGAAGTACTAAATGCAAGAATGCTTGTTTTACATCAAAACTTTATGTTTTGGAGTACTTCTGACAGCTTCAACACCTACTGTGTTTTGATGTCTAAGGTCCATTCCAGCTCCTTAACATACTAGGATACTATGAATCACTTCCCCAAACATCTGATTTAAAAAACTGATACAATTGTAAAGGGTACCTATGAAATCATTTAATTGGCAGATTAGCATATATATTCCATTACTTTTTTTTTTTTTTTAAATCAAAGGCTTTGAGAGCATCTAGCAGCAATTTTATAGCTGCCTATTTGCACTTCTAAATTACTTCTGAGTAATCATTGGAATGTGTAATCACAACACTTTTTATTGGTCAGCAGATCTCCAGTAGGAAAGATTCAGGAGTTGCCCATCTTTATAGCACTTGTGATATTTCCAGTAAAGAACAAATTGTTAATCTATATAAAACAAAAAACCCCAAATAAAAGAGAAAGGGGTCGGTCACTCTCTTACTCTGCACATCACCTGCACTGCACATGCTGAGGCAGAGATTTCACATCTGCAGTAACAAGACAGACACAACACCAGGCACAGAAGTCTTGAGCAACTTATTTTCATCTGGATCAGTCACTTTTTCATAAGAGAAAAAATAACCCTTTGTTTAAGACTAGTATTTTACTCCATGGTACTCTTGGGCTA